GCTGCGCCACCAGAGAGGGCTGACTTTTATTTTTAAATATATGTTAGGGATATGCTGGACTCTATCAATCAGACCTTTCAGTTTTTCTAGAATCAAGGCCTTCAGGGAGACCTTGAAGCTAAAAAATAAAATAAGACAACAAACAAACAACTAAATACATTTTAGTAGTTGAGTGGAAAATAGAAAAACTATTACCAATGAATTCTGATCGCAATAGTTGGCTGATGGACATATTATACCACTGTACTGTATACTATTCTCTCTGTTTTATATACATCTGAAAATGAGCCATATTAAGAAATTAGAAAAAAAAAAGAAGTAGGACTTTTTAGCAAAGACGGGATAAAGACATTGCAGGGAAGGGATTTTATATGAATCAGGGAAAGGCCTCTGTAGTTTCAGAGTTGTCAGAGATTTGCATGGCTGAGAGCATAATTTACATGGGCAATGGAAGAAGAGGAAGCTACAGAAAGAGGAGCCAACTCGTAAGGGATTTGTCAGGTGATTGTTTGGGTTCAAAGTAAGTAGCACCTTAGCATATAGGGCTATTAGAGATCATTTATTTTATGTTGGTTCATTTTACAGGTCAGGAAACAAAATAGCAAGAGAACATTATTACTGTGAGCCTGGCCAATAGTGAGAGTCCAAAGTCGGATTTAAATCCTCATCACTCACCCACTACCGAGCAGTATTGTTAATCTCCAAGCATGATAAAAAAGACAAGAGTATATGCATTTTGCATCCTGAAATATTTTATTTATTTGACTTTTTTGCATGTAGTTAAGCATTCGGAGTGCAGTCCTCATCCTCAAATACTCCCAAATGCTGCTAGAGAGAAGCCAGCCTTCAGGAAGTTTTGTGGTAGATAAAAGGTGGGTGAGTGAGCTCGTCCTCCTCCTAACTGAGATACTAGAAGTCTCTGACCAAGAGAAATCAAGGAACGCAGACTTCCTGCAGGCAGAAGGAACTACAGTCATCTTGAACTTACTGGTAGTAAGTTGTCCTTTTTTCTTCATTGATAGCAACAGTTACCCCCCTCGCCCAGGATGTAACATGTATTTGCAATTGTGCCTCAAAGCCAATAATTTAATTGTTTCTTGAAGTACTGTGTTTATTATTCTGAATGGTGGTTTGGTTTCTGGAAATTTTGGGTTTGACTTTTAAGTGTGGGGGGTGGTGTTTATGATGTTTCCCAACATCATATGATGTTTATGATCATATGGTGTTTATGATGTTTGCTTCTATTTCATCCTTTTACATTTTTATAGATTTTTCACTTGGGATACCTGGGATGTTGTTTGACTCAGAAACATCATTTTTCAGGGCATTTACTGTCTACTGTAGAATATTACAAATGATTTTTAATACATACAAGCCTACTAGTATGTAACTTCGAAGAAAATATTAAGTTTATGTAATCTATTTCTGCTGCAGCAATTATGGAAGTTTTCTAAAACGTTGTTTCTTCTTCTTTTTTTTTTCCCTACCTTATGAGATCACCAGTGCTTCCAAGGAATAATAATATAGTTGTCTTTCCTGTCCCACCACGTATCCTCTTTCCCATCTAGATCTGATGGCTCACTGAGCTGTAATGTTCGGGAAGCTAGAAAATAAATAAATGTTCGGTATGAATCTAATAAAAGCAAGCATGACTTGGCATTTAGTACATCTAGAAACATTTGCTGCATACTTAACACCCACCTTGAACTAGTCCTAAGGCATTGTCAAGTTAACATGCTCTTAAAATATTCAAGGCATTCCAACTCGCTTGTATGGACTACGAAACCCCAAGTATAGCAGTTATCACAAAATGAGTCATGTATCACAAAAGCTGTGTGGTGACCAAACACAACTTGTGCCTTACTATTATTTGACAGTCATATCTTTCTATCAAGCAAATGAATCCAGAGTGACCTGCGACCGGCTATTTTTCAAGTGTTCCCACCTCTTCCCTTATTCTGGATTCCAGATGACTATGCCATCTGCACTATGCCATCCTACAGTTCATGTTCCATTTCAGGGCTACCTCTGTTTCAAAAAGGAGCCTGAACTCCACGTCAGCACCAGGCTGATGGAAGTCCATGCACAACTTCATTGTGACCTTCAGAGCTGTGTGCAGAGCGTGGGTTCCGTCCAAGTGCATTTACCTGCAGACGTGGCCCGGCAGACTGCTGCTGGGACAGAAACGCCGAGCCCATGCTATGCCAGCCAGCTCAGGCTCTTCAAGAGGAGTCTGTCTCCAGGGAGAGCAGCACCTGGTCAGGTACAGCAAGGCAGGTCACCCATACCCCCTATTGACTACCTCAGCGGAGCAGGTGTTGGGTTTGATGAAAAAAAAAAAAAGGATTTGGGGGACATGTTTACATTTGTAACTCAATTGCAAGAGAGGGACAACTTTGAACTATTTTTTCATTATTTTGGAAGAGAGCCTCAGCAAAACTGAGTATCCCTGGTATCTCATAAGTGGACCACTTACTGTTTCCTGTGGTTTGTTTTAATCCATTGTTGGAGAGTCAGAGGCATGGCTAGGATGGAGTGTGCGGTACAGGCAGGCACGTAGCCGGTGAACTCCTGGCTTACTGTCCCAGCGATCAAATGAAGGGTTTAACCCAGACAAAATTCAGGAAGGGGCCTCTATGGGCTTTTTTTCCTCCATGCCCACCTGAATGGTACATCTACACTAAGCCACCAAGGGTGGCTCCTGAGACTGGATTGAGATGGGTGTTGGAAAGAGGAGTCTGGAAGGTGCAGACACCTGATAATTCTGGGAACATCTACCTTTCTTCTCCAATTGGAAACCACCTGCAGGGTCCCTGGAGTACCTGGTCTGTGACAGAGAGCACTGTTCTCTGCATGTTCTCTACCTCAGCCCTGCTCCAGAGCCTGCCTCATCTGAACACCCAATAAATGTCTAATGAACAAATGTACAAATTCAAGATGCACAACTTACTTTAGTCAAAAACAGTCATTTTTAGGAAAATAGAAATCATTTCCATAAATGAAAATAATTCTATATAATAAACAATAAAGAAACAGAAATTAAATTGGTTTTTGAAATTAAAGATGGGCTTGTCTTTAAAAAATTAAGTGCTGTGACTATGTAGTGTGGAGGGCAGCCTGGTATATACTATTGCTGAGAAGTCCTTTGTCACAGCACAAAGAACTTTAAAAATGAAAACCCCTGGCCCTCCCTGGTGGCGCAGCGGGTTAAAGCACTGCACTGAGAAGCTAAAGCCACTTCCGCATGACTTCGATTCCCGCCTGCCCCGGAGGTGACCACATGGCGTGGCAGACCTCTCCTGGCCCGCCCGCTGCTCCCCTCAGCAGTGTACTTCATCAATCTGCCTGTTCTGCTCCCAACTCTGTCTCTGGTGAAGCCTCTTGCCGCCCCTGAGCCTCTGGCCTGTACCCCAGTTCTGTATGCACAAATAAATAAATCTTTAAAAAAAAAATGAAAACCCTATTGTTACACTATAGGAATTGTCACTGAGGAAACAAGAAAGATGTATTCATTCCTTCATTCACTCATTCATTCACTGCAACATTTGCAAAAACCCAAAAAGAATGACCTAATGTTCAGCTGAAGAATATAGTTCACTGGTTATCCAAAGGAACTGTAATAATCTATACATAGTCAATTAAAATTATGTCAATCAAGGAATTTTAGTGACTTTGGAAACTTTTATACAAAAAAATACAGAACATAAATTGTCTGTCCAGTATATGGAAAATGTTTCCAACTGACAGTCCCAGAAACAATTTCTTTGACCTAGATGGTATTACAGGCAAGATGTGCTTCACCATTCTGCATAACTTTCTCTAGCTTTCCTGATAACCTATAATGAACAGATATATTTCTTTTGTATAGGTTTTTTTTTAAAAGATTTATTTATTTGTTCGTACAGAACTGGGGTACAGGCCAGAGATGCGGAGGGTGAGAGGCTTCACCAGAGACAGAGCGGGGAGCAGAACAGGCAGATCAATGAAGTACACTGCTGAGGGGAGCAGCGGGCGGGTCAGGAGAGGTCTGCCACGGCATGTGGTCACCTCCAGGGCAGGCGGGGATCAAACTCATGAGGAAGTGGCTTAAGCTTCTTAGTGCAGTGCTTTTACCTGCTGCGCCCCCAGGGAGAGCCTGTATAGGTTTTTAAAGTAAGAAAAAGGCTTTTTAAAAACTTTCATTTTTTTCACTTGAATAAGACTAATATAAAGAAACATTACACTCCCCCAAACCCTGCCGTTCTTTCTAACTGGTCAGAGTGCTGTTATTCTGTGTTACCCTGTGCTGTCTGGCTCATAGTTTTGTGTGATTGTAGCAGCAGCATCACTGGACTTGGTCCCCTGCTTCTCGCACCAAGTCCACCTTCTCTCACTAAGTCACCTGCTCTCTGGTCTCTTTGTCTCTGAAGCTTGGCCCTGTGGTGGCCCTCTCCTTGCACAGCTGCTCCAGCAGGAAGCCCATCAGCAACCGGCGGCTGAGGGCGCCCGTGATGGTGGAGTTCGGGGAGGAAGACAGCCTGGTGAGGACAGCCTTCCAGCTCACCTCCCTCAGTGGTGGCCCTGCCAGTTTTCATGCATTGACTTTTCCAGAGGAAAATCTGGCTTAACTTGTTCTCTATTTCATGACAGGACTCTGAGAGAAAGAAAAACACATTTGTGTTGCTTCGGGATAAAGTGAATTTTCATCAGTTCACTGGGCATTCTGAAAATCCCCTGGAATCTCTACAGATAATGATAGAATTTTCTAAGCCTATTGCCAAAGCTTTCCCAGTCTTGTTGTTGGTAAGGTATGTTGTCGGGTGGAGGCTAAATAGGAAGAAGGCTGAAAGAAGCAAGGGATGATGCCCCTGAATATTGGTGAATAAAGCTGACTTTTTAATGCAATCATGGAACTCATTGTGTAGTGAAATTATTCCCTGTTTTTCAGGGAATAAACTTCCCTACTTTTTTTTGGGGGGGGGGTTGGGGGAGTTCCTGCCCACTAAGTTGAGTAGAGTGAGAAATAGCTGAAGTGCCAGTAGCGGTACAGCTGTCTTCACTTAGGAACTTAACTCTCTTTCACAGTGTAGACCTGGGCCTAGAATTCTTTTCGAATTTTTTTAAATGGAAAAAAAAAATTGTAAACAATTATCTGAGAAGACTTGATAAATGCTTCTTTCTCAGGAATATGGATTTGTGAGAGTTGGGTCAACCCCATTTTATAAGTGAGAGAATATTGGAAGGATTCTTTGGTATCAGACTTTAGCCATCTCCATCTGACTAGGATTGTGCTGCTTCCGTCCAGCTGCTTCTGTCTGGGTGGCATCTGTGCTGGGCATCTCTCAGGTGGGCTGAGAGCCACACAAATAAGTACCCTTGGTCATTCCACCACCTGAACATTAAATGTTCGGAGCATGTCTATTTGATGCAAAGATTTGGACTTTAACTTATTTAGGTCACACACAAAACAGCAAATTGGTTCTGACCAGTTTCTGGGCCTTACTCCCCGTTCCACACAGCTCACCACTCTCACAGGCTGCTGTGGGGCCCACCCCAGGCCATTCAGAGCTGTTGCACCTACCATCTGCATTGCTTTTCTTTCTTAATTTGAACTGAAAATTTTATGTTAATCAAAGGAGGCCTGAAAGTGTCATGTCAGAGTTCTTTTTGAAAGAGTCCTAATGCTATAGAAAAAGCAGAGTGGAGCCTGCAATTTTTATTTTTTTTAATTGAGATAATGTTGGCCTATAACACTGTATGGTTTAGGGGCACATGTTCACACCTCTTTGGATGTGTGTTATCATACTACCCCCAACACCAAAGCACAAGTAACTCTCCACCACAGTCCATTGCACAGTGACCCCTTTTAGACTCCACTGGCCTCTCAGGAGTGAAAATATTTGCACAAAACTGTAAAATTAAAATCTCCAAGAAGAAAAAATATCAGACCTATATATCACTGTGTGTTTTTATCTCCTAGATTCTCTGAAAAGCCTACCCCTTCTAACTGTCTTGTGAAACAGACCTACTTTTGGGATGAGAGCACTGTACATATTTATCTACCTGCTGTTTCACAGAAAGGTCAGTGCACGCGAGCTCTTCTGAAGTCCAGGTCTGATTCATGTGATAGAAACTTCAACTGTAAGATTTGTATGCCTAACAGTGCTCTTTCTTATCCGTGACAAAAACACCTGCCATTCGGCCCTCCCTGGTGGTGCGAAGGGTTAAAGCACAGCACTACAAGCTAGTTGCAGCCACTTCAGTACTAGTTCAATCCTGGGCCCCAGAGGTGACCTCTCCTGGCCCTTCCACTGCTCCCCTCAGCAGTGTATTTTGTTGACCTGCTTGTTCTGCTCCCCACTCTGTCTCTGGTGAATCC